TGTTAACCATCTCATTTGAAGCAAACTGCCAATTATCACATTCCACAAGGGCCTTCAAGCAAAGAGCAGACCCTGAAGTTAGGCTTTCTTGAGATCCTAGGAGAGAATCTGAAAGAGGCTTGCAGAGAGAGTGAATTATGTGCCTCCTCTTATCTTCTGGTGTGGTTGGATCAATTCTGTACCTTGCAATTGCAGGGACCACCTTTGAGCATGCCTGTTGAAGAGGAAAAGAATCTGCACTTGAAGTTAGTGTCTTGATAATGGTTGACATAATGATGTCAATCTGAGGAACAATGTTCACACCATGCAAACGGGCAAGAACCTCATACAGTGAAATGGTGTATTCCCCAGATACGGATCCAGTTTCTTTGGTCCTCAGATACTTGTGCAAGGAAGATTAGTATTGCTGTTGAATCTAGGTCTCTCACATATGATTTAAGAGCTCTCATTGCTGATTTACACCTATTAGCATCCTTGTCAAGATTTTCCAGCTCTCGCTGAAGTATTGGACTAAGATTTCTACCCATCTTTCACCTGAAACGACTCAAACAAGATAAGCCATTCAGCTTAGTTAAAACTGAAATCATGGAAGCCTTTCATAAATATAAGAATGGAGCACAAACAGTACACCTTAGTAATTTTCCAAAAGATGCTAGCCTTGTTTTATCTACAAAGGACCATTTTTGGGAATTAAAATAAACTAATTATGAATTTAAGAAAAATGAACCTAAAAACTTGCTTAAAATCTTAGTTGATAGATGAAGTAATTTACTCTTCAATTGAGTGTCATCACATGAGGAAAGCATGCACATACTAGCTCAAGAGCCTTAATTCTTGAAAGAAAAATCTAAGAGAATAAAGCTTGAAATGTTCTTAGATAGAGGGTTGTTCATTCAAACTTCTTTATATTCAATAGCCTTCAACATCTCTTGCCCATTCACAAAGGGGGAAAGTGTGCAAAGCAGTGTTTCATGTAGACTCCATGCATGTAATCATACACGCAACTAGTTTCTGTTTTCTTTGCATCTAGGTAACTCAAAATGGGTACCCAAGTTAGCCAACATCTCCCACTTAGGAATGATGTGTTTGACCCTCTCTTGTAGAATAGTCAATGGCTTTATAAAGTGTTCCACATCCATTCTCTTAGTCAGATGAATTCTCAAAGCATACGAAAAAGTGGTCATGCGACTGAAAAGCATCATGCTAATCTTTCAAGGAGCTTGATACTATGTCTACCAACCATCTTAGTTATGTGATAATTATATACTTGTATCGTAAATTCATTTTTATAAGAACAATCATGTAACCCCTCAAGGCTATGTTTAACCATCTCTACTCTATCATGTATTTACAAATTACAATCAAGTTATTTTTTAAAGATTACATAATTGTGGGTCAATGATACATGTTTAAAATTTTAACATAACGTTATTCCATTCCAATGCATGACCCATCCATTCTAATTCAACACAGTTTCCAATTGCATCCCATAGGCTAAATTATTGTAGTCTTACAGAATACGTTAAAGTAGCAACACTGATCCATTGCTTCATAAAATAGTTTAAAGCAATGTTGCAAAAAGCGCAAGGCAATGGGGGGCACTGGACCATTGTGTAGGCGTTTCTCTTTAAAAAAAAAAGAAAAAATGCAAAAGTTCATCAAAAAAATCCAAAAAATAAATGAAAGGCCTAGCTCTACTACCTAGGGCCTAAGCAAAGCGGCCAAGAATCGCCTAGTGCCTTGCATGCTTTTTCCAACACTAGCTGAAAGTCAGTAAGGATATCATTAAGGGCACTAATTTATTAGTTAATGGCCTCCCGCCTCCAAGGAATCACATAGTGAGGATACAAGAATTAATTCTCTTCCCGTATTGGTCAATTAGCACCACCCATGATACATGCGCTACAATGTTTTTCTCCTTAGAAGCACAAGTCTTTTCTACCTTTTATATCACAAAATATTCTACATGTTCCTATTCAAACCCCTCTTTGGTGTTTAACCTAAGTCTCCTACCATGAGCACACTAGGGCTCAAATTCGAATTTTTCCTAGCTAACATAACCGAGGGGAGATCATGTGCAATCTACTCTACATGTCATACGTGTATCTCATAGATGTACTGCGGGGAGAACATGTGCAATCTAGTTTACATGTCATACATGTATCTCATAGACATTATCTTGATCACCATCAAGGGGACATTGGGCAGTCATTGGTTTCTCTTGCACATAATAATCTTACTGCACAGCATTTTCAAAATGCTTTACACAATTGTCATGTGATGGTGAGAGAGAAATGCAACAAACACTTTATGAAGCAGTTGCTATTTTTAGCAAGAGAGCCAAACTCATCATTGAAAGTGAGAAATGCTGCCAAACTTGGGCACCTAGTGATGGTTGACCTTGATGCAAAGAAAATGAAAATTTAACGCATTTATGATTATGGTTATAGGGTCACATAGAATTGTCTTCAAAGATAAGATTGAATTACAATCATTTGGTAAAAGCAAAGTCCATACTTCACGCTCTGCCACTTCGAGAATACACGATAGATGTTAAAGGCTCTTGGACACAAAAGGGTTGGAGTGAAAAAACAATGAGAACCCACCCTCTCTAAGAAAGTTTCAGGCTCTTTTCTTTTAATTTTTTTCTTTCAAGAATTCCAGAAGGCTCTTTCACTGTGGTATGTGGGTGTTTTCCATATGTAATTAAACTCCTAATTGAAGAGCATATTACTTCATCTGTTAAAAAGATTCTAAGGAAGTTTTTTGGTTTTTTTTCTTAAATTCAAAATTAATTAATTTTAATTCCTATAGATTTATGATAAGTTTGGCCCCCCAAAAATACCCTAATTCAAAGCTGTAGTAACCAAGAAAAAGACAAACAGAAATCTAAACCTCATATTTAAAGAATCAATTGAATAAGACTTCTTCAGTCCCAAAACTTTAAGCTAAGAATTTGAACTCCATAACTTTTCCATGTGTTTCTAAGCAATCAAACCAATAAATAAACCTCCCCTGGAAGCAAGACATGATATAGGCGGAATCAAAACAAGAACACATAACTAGCAGTTTGGATGTTTTTATCTCAATTTAAAATGTCTAGCTCAATAGAAACTCAGACTCAGAGAAAAGACTGCTCTATCAGTAAGATCACATAAAAAGAACACAAATAAAAAAAATGGGTGCCTCAGATTTCTACCTAAAACAAACAAACAAGAACTAAATACCCACTAAGGAAAAGATTCCATAAACCAAAGACTTACCTATCAGAGGCCTCTCTTTCTCACTTCCCT